ATCCTTGCCTCGTGAAGCATTCTGGAAAGCTCAATTTTGGGGCTGTCCAACAGATGCTGTGTAACCCCTCAACTTTGCTGCTGTGAATGGATCACATGGATTTTTTAAATGGCCTTGAATAAGCAGTTGAGCCCGATTAGCTTTACACATCAATTGCTCCTGGTACAGCTGCATTTCCAGTAGCTGGAAAATAATAGAAATTCAAATAAGTTGGTAAAGATCTGTGTGTTTGCCTGTGGTCTGGGGTCCTCCTGGGGACCCTGGCCATGGGAATTATCATGAGAAGTGCCTCTAGATAACAATTTACCATGGCAGTATTCCCCTACAACATTGCGCCCCAAGTCCAAATCTCTTGTGTGCAGAATCTTGTTGCTACAAACAATAATATTCTGGGAATGTTCAAAACTCGAGTAGATGTTTGGCTTTGAGAAGCTTTATCTGCATATGCCCCTTTTATTTGAATAACGCTTTGCAGCAAATTTCTGTTTCATAACCAGCCTGTGTGGTAGATCCTGTTGATTCTTAAGCATATTGTTATTCCAGAGGATGAGGGGGAAAAAACAAGGCCACCCAAAAAAACCCACCAAATTGGTGAGTCACAACTTTTTGTTCCCCAAACTCGCCTGGCGGCATTCTCTGTGGCTATCAAAACCCAGGGGTGATTAACGTGCTGCCCGGCTACACTGGCAGAAAAGGTGACCATAATCCATTTTGGGGGGGGGCCCTCGCTCTTGTCTAAACAGCAGAAAGGCAGAAGAGATCCAAGCATCAGACTGTCAGACATGAGGGAAGGGCAGCTGAACTTCTAAAAAACTGAAGTAGTTCTGGGACCAAAGCTTAGAGTATATGGATGGGGCCAAATGGGATGGGGAATCTGGGCAGTGTAGTCCCAAACCAGTGTGTACAATGGGGTGGGGTTGCAGGGAGGAGACCAAATTGGCTGGCAAACACGCAATGCACCACTGCTCGCTTTCCTCTCCCCTCCTCACTCTTCTCCTTTTCTATCACATCTATCAGGTTGGAAACCTACTGGCCAGAATGGCCTTTTCCTAATTGTTTAGTGTTTGGAAAACCCTAGGTGCTCTAGTAAACCTTATATACTCATAGTAACACTTTCCCCAATAGGAGTTGCCAGGAGGATCAGCCACCAGGTGGCACAGCATTGCATGAAAATAGGCCTGACCCTTGGAAAAAATGGGGCTCATGCTCGGTTTGGGACTTCCTGTCGGCCAGGGATGGGGAACCTTCCATCCTTCATAGCCTGGGAAGCTGTTGCAGTTGGCCTTCCTCCCACAAAAACTAATGCTGTTTTGTACACTTGGTACACAATCAATAATAATAGCTTTCAAACCACCCCACCCGCATTTTTCTCCATCTCCATCCTGTGCTCAGACGCATTTCTGGCCTAGGCAATTTTCACGGCCTCCCCAAATCAGAAACCAGTCCCGAGGCCAAAAATTGTCCCCTTTCCCTACCTCGCTTGGCCTTTTGTGAATAAAATATTAGACAGATTTTTGCACTAGGCTAGTGTGGCTCTTTTTCAACTCTTAGGAATAATGGAGATCATGAAACAATCATGAGCTGCTTGATAGCTCAGTGGTTTAGGCATCTGGTTGCAGAACCAGAGGCTGGGAGTTTGATTCCCTGCTGTGCCTCATCATCTGCAGGGCAACTCTGCAGTTCTATGATGATGATGTCTTGAACATTATTTTTCTCACCCGCATTTTTCTCCATCTCCATCCTGTGCTCAGACGCATTTCTGGCCTAGGCAATTTTCACGGCCTCTCCAAATCAGAAACCAGTCCCGAGACCAAAAATTGTCCCCTTTCCCTACCATGGTTGGTCTTTTGTGAATAAAATATTAGACAGGTTTTTGCACTAGGCTAGTATGGCTCTTTTTCAACTCTTAGGAATGATGGAGATCATGAAACAATCATGAGCTGCTTGATAGCTCAGTGGTTTAGGCATCTGGTTGCAGAACCAGAGGCTGGGAATTTGATTCCCTGCTGTGCCTCATCATCTGCAGGGCAACTCTGATGATGATGTCTTGAACATTATTTTTCTTGGGGGAGGGGACCAATAGCTTCAGCATGCCCCATGGCTATGCTGCTTGGGAAATTCTATGAGTTCTGATCTCAAAGAAGGAACTTTTCCAAGATCTGGATGAGAGCTGAACAGCCAAAGGCTTGCAGACAAGTTGGGTGCAGGTGCGAGACAAAAGAGAGAAAAAAATTATCCCCTGTTCTTTGCCTGGAGCAATAGAATGTCACCCCAGGAAAGCTACAAGGCAAAGCCAGAAGGACAAGATCGCCTTAGGCTTACTGTATGCCCATCTCAGTTCAGCAGGGGCGAGATGGCTCAGAAGCTGTGGAGCAAACACACTCGGTAAGGCACATGATGGAAATTTTTACAATATGTGCCTATGAGTGTGAAAGAGGAGGGCTGTAGAACCAGTGGGATAAGAAATGGAATCCTGGCAGGGTGTGTGTGGCTGAGACGGATCAAGCCGTTCCATCTCAAGACATGCTGTAGCTGTGTGGCCGAACCCATTGCAAAGGGTCCTTGGCTCAGCCATCTCCATCTCTTTTGCATTGCACTGCAGTCCTTTTAAATTCTAGCCTTAATGGTTCTGCACCCATGTGGGCCTCTGTAGACCATTAACGTGTCTTGCTTTGCAATTAGCTCTGCTGCATTTCAGCAAGAATCGGCAATCTCTGGAGATCTGTGGGCTTTGAAGGGTCAACCTCCCCACCTTGGAAAAGAATTTTTTTTTAAAAAAAATAGGTTTTTAAAATAAAAGGCTCCACTCCACCCTCAAGTGGCCAAATATATTTTCCTACATTTAACAAAATAATAATTGTGGGAGGGCCCATTGTTCACTCAAAACATACACCTTATCCTCTTCTAGAAGGCACAAGAGACCTTGAGGGGCAGCAATAGGTGGGTGGGTAGGGAGGGACAGGATCTGCACTCTAAGAACAACTGGGTTACCCAAGGTCTAGAATCAAGAGATTATCCTTCTTGAAATGAAGGATGTTTTAGTTGGGCTCATTGCTACCCTTTAGCCACATGCAAGCCCCTCCAGACTGTTTCGGTGCACACACTGCACTTTCCTAGCCCTCTGCCGGAAAAGATTTCCCCAAGAAAAAAATGGGGGCCAGAAAACTACACTGGTGAAAAAGCACTTGTGTGAGCGGTACTAAAACGTGACCCAGTTATACAAACGAGTTGCACAACAGATGGCTGAAACCCACTTGTGTGATTGTCCTTCCACATACACCAGGAATCTGTCGGGGGAACTGCTGCTCCTTGAGGCCTCCGGGAGATTTCACTCACCTTTAAAAGTGATCACAGGGCCTTCCTGTACTGCTTAAGAAGGTGGGGGTGTGTGTCATTTTTTCAAAACTAGAAGTGGACTTTCAGCCACTTCCAGTTTTGCTGTTTAAGGGGTGTTTACAGTTTTGGTAGTTCAGAAGGTTACTGAAGGTTCTACTTTGCGGTAGAAAGTTATCTATGGGGTTGATTTCACCTTTTCTCCCAGCCACAAACTTTATGCAGTGCTGCTTATGCTATGTAGGAAGTCCTCCCCCTGCTGTCTAAAAAAGTCTACAGCTACTAGCAATAATGGATTCCCAATTAGTGAATAGAGTGATGGACTAGGACTGTGGACAAGAGGGTTCAAAGCCTCACTTGGTCATGGTAACTCACTAGGGGAGTGGAACTCATAAAACCACTCCTGGTGTATCTCACTTACCTTGAACCTCACAACCTTATTAGGGTTGCTATAAGTTGGGTTCTGACTTGACGGCTCAGAACATGCACACTGGTAATAGTAACTATGTGCCATCTCGTTGACTCATCTTACCATGAGCTTTTGGGACATTCATTTATAATTTTTCTACACTACTCACAAACTATTGGCACATGCCTGATAAAGGGGTTTCTAATCTATAAAAGCTTGCATTAATTGTTTGATTTTTAGCTATCTGACAAAGTTGTCACATTCTCCATTTGTATTATACAATGACCATATGGCATCCTTTAGATTCAGTCTTAGAGATCCTTGTCAGAATTTATAAGATACAAAATATTCAGAAGTCTTTTGGGGAATGCTCTGGGACTGTGCAGCTTGCCCAAGGCTACAAAGGCTGGCTTTTCTGACAGGAGGCACAGCGGGGGAATTGAATCCAAACTGTTTCTAATTGATAGGGCTTCTAGCAGCAAACTCAAAGAGAGAGAGAGAAAGAGAGAAATAAACAAAAAAACTCCAAAGCTTTCAGCTTACCGTATTTTTCCATTTATAAGATGATCCACCCTTTTCTAACTCCAAATTAGAAAATTTGATCCCTGCTTTTTCCTTCCTTTTGCTAAGCCATGGAGCTTAGCAAAAGAAAGGGAAAAGCAGGGATTAAAGGGCTCCCTTTGACCGCTGCTTTTCCTTGCCTTTTGCAAAGCCACAGAAGGGAAGGCACCCTTTGGGTGAAGGCTGCACAATAACAGTCCTTTGATCCTGATGCCCTTTCATGGCTGCTTCATCCACTTCCTAAGCCCAGTAACGCAGCCGTGATAGGGCTGCACGATCGCAGCCCTTTGATCCTGAAGCAGCTTCAGGATCAAAGGGCTGCGATTAGGTAAGGGAGCCTCCCCTTCCTTTTTGCTAAGCCCTGTGGCTTCACAAAAGGCAGGGAAAAGTTGCTGGCTCCTATGTATAGCACTTGAAGCACTTTCTGGGTGGTTTACAATTTAATTCTGCAGGCTACACCTTGCCCACCCCTGCCCCATGAGCTGGGTACTCAATTTACTGACGTTGGAAGGCTGGAAGGCTGAGTGAACCTTGAACTGGCTACCTGGGATCGAATCCAGGTTGTGAGCAGAGTTTTGGCTGCAGTACCGCACTTTGACCACTGTGTCACAAAGCTCTTATATTCTTTAATACCAAATATATTCATCCTTCTCTGTCCTAAGTTTTCACAGAAACAAACAAAGAAAAGGCAAGGCCATCACGGAAGGGGAGCTTTAATGTAGTGATGTATGAATCTAGGCAACCTTAACAGAGACACAGAAACCAAGAGTTGCAAAACCCCTGACAAAAGGAAGGGAGAACATGCAAGTTCTTTCTGGCAATGAAGGGATGCTTGTTTCCCTGCAACTGTGCTGGGCGAAATGTGGCCAGATACTCCCTAGAGGAAACGTAGGCCTCCAGGCTCTCTGGCCTGCAGTCTTTTTGCTTAGCCTGGATGCTGCTGTGTGGGTGTTCCACAAACTGTCCCTTGAAGATCAAGTTCTTACGTCTTGCCACTACTGTTCATCTCCAGGGACTCAGCCCCAGGTTCCAATCTGGTGAGGAAAGCTTGGGAAAGATTCTGGACGGCTGAACATGAAGATGATGGAGCCCAATACAGAAACGAATGCTGAACATTCAAGGACTGGTTCAGTAACAGAGGGATCAGGGGCGCCAGCAAGCCTCCTGGGGTCAAAGTCCTCACAGAGAGACGTTAGGGGGCTCCTCCTGCAAAGATGAGCTCCAGAGCAGCCTGGATGTCCCCGCCGGTTGCTTGCAAGGCTCGGAGGCTGAGCTCGTCGTCATGAATGCCCATGTCGCGCAGCTGCTGCAGCTGAGGCTGCCACTGGCTCTGCAGGCAAAGAAGAAAAAAGACCAGGTGTGCAGCTAAGCCAAGCTCTGACAGAGCCCCGGCTCGTTCGGTGGACTGGAAAGCAGCTCTGGGGCTTTTGGACTCCAACTCCCAGAATCCTCCAGGCGGCATGGCCACGCTGTGGACGTAACATGATCTCCTCGCCACTCAGCATGCCCTGTGTGGGCTTTCTTGCACAGCCTGCTGCCCTGGTCCAGCCTGCTTAGGCCAGAGCTTGGAAAACCTGCCTTTTTGGGATCACAAACCAGAGATTCCCACAGCTGGTTATAGCCACTGTCCATGCTGGCGGGGGATTCTGGACGTCGTGGCCCAAAAATAGCAGCGTTTCCAACCCTGACTAAGGCTCCAGGTACAGAGACAGCGAAGTGCCGCCCTAAGAACGCTGGATTTGGAAGATCCAGGATCTCTTTCCCCTGAGCCACAAACCTCACAGGAAGAACTCAGGCCAGACATACTTGCTCAGCTTTTCCTCCTTGGCCTCCCTCACAGGGCTGTTGTGAGGAGAGAATAGACAGAAGGAAAGCCCCATGTGCTACCTTGAGCTTACTGAAGGAAAGATGGATGGATGTTCACAAAACCATTAAATAAAGGAACTGCATGCCTCCAGCCTTTTATCTACCCACTGAGTCCTTCGTCCGTGCACTTCGGCACCGTGTATTGCCCTGAGAACCGCTGCCCGTCAGGCAAGGCCCAGGCCTTTTGGCCCCCAGCGGGAGGAACAGATGGGAAAAGGCAACTGACCTGCAAGTTTGGCTGCCCAGACGCCTGCAGGGCGTGTTGTAAAGCCTGGCTGAAGAGGTCGTTTGTGATGGGAGTTCCTGACTGGACCCCAGAGGACATCGGAGACGTGCCTGAAGAGTGTCCCTGGGGGAGGGGGGAGAGAAGAGAACACAGTTGCTGCCAAGAGCCTCACACCCAGAGGGGCCCAAATGAACTGAACACCAACAACCAGTTGAGTACAGCAAATGGAAGCTTGAAACTGGGTCAGAGGACCTTCCCTCTCACAGCTCAGATGGAACAGGTAGGACTCCCATGAGATCAATGAGAGCATAGTAGGACTCCCCCCCCAGCCACAGGATCCATATCCACTGATTCACTTATCCGCTGCCTGAAAATACTAATAACTATTTCTGTGTATTGCCAGGATGTGTTTACCAGAACTGGCCACTACAAGGAGACCGGGGGGGGGAGTAGAATTGATCTCACACAGATACCACAGTCCTACTGTATTCCTAAGTAGAGTTTGCACCTTGATTCAGGAATGAAACCCCAGAATGATCATCCAATAAATCTTCCCAAGCAATGAGCCATCAACTCATTGCATCAACTCCTCCCCTTTAGACCAGAGAGTCACAGTATGTTAATTTCTTAAATAAGTTTGCAAGGCTTATGTCTACAAGAGGCAGGGATTTGTATGTGTTTAACATTCTTGTTTGTAGTGTTCAGGCAGGAGATGGAAGTTTGGTGTTGTTCAGATGTGATTCTTGACTGCTGCCTACTGAAGTAATTGCATGCAGCGGCTCCAAAGTGGAATCAGTTCGCCCGAACTGAGATTTTAACGGGGAGCCTACATATGGCTGTTATGTCCAGCGGTTTATAAAGAGACTTAGGGCTGCATTCCTTCTAAACACAAGCCATTCTTCCGCCACCCCCCAACAAACACAACAAGGAGATCAGCACCATCTACTGGAAGTTAACACACCATAAAACCATTTCCATCTTAAAAACAAAGCAAAAACTTGAGCTCAGCCATGGAAACCCATTGGAGGTGTACTGAACAGGTAAAAAGATCTTTCTGGGGGTAAAAGATGGCCAAGATACAGTGTTTACAACCACTTGGACAGATCTACCATGCCACATTCAGTTGCTGGGGGAAAGGTCTCCTTGACCATGTGATCTGTTCAGCCCATAGATATGACGTATGTTCCTTATAGATGTTGCCTGGCCCACAACTTCCATCAGCTCTAGCTAATGAGACAACAGTGAGGGATATGACAGGAGTTACAACCCATAAGCATCTGGAGAGCCAGACTTAGCCATCCCTGGCCAGTCCTCAAAGCGAAGAACGTTTGCTTAGTTTGTTGGAACATTCCAGTTCTGATGGGGCTTTCACCATAAAGATGCAACACAATTCCATGGAAGTTAACTGGGAAGTGGGTTTGACTAATCTCCTTCAAACTCCACTGGGTTTCTTCCAGAGTTTCTCTTCTGAGTAATTTGCAAACTACTTCATATGCACAACACCAGCAATATTTAGCTCATCATAGAAGCAAGATATTTTGCAATAACGTTTGTATGTGCGTTTTTGAGGCTACAGCAACCCATCACCTCAGTCTCCATGCTGTCTGAGAGATTACAGGGACTTTTTCAAACTCTGATTTTTGTATGGAACTCCTGCCAGAGGCCTCTCCCTTTTCTACTGAGGCTGTTGGAATAAGAAGCCTGGCTTCTGATGCTCCTCCTTTACCTGCGTTCCTGGAGTTGGGGTGTGCGAGCTGCTCTCTGGGGTGCTGGCCAGGGCCAAGGCCGTTGCTAGCTCACTCTGTGTGATGGGTCGAGGTCCTGCTGCCCCAGTGTAGCCAAGGGATGCTGGGCGGGACCCAGAGGTGCTGCTTGACGGAGTCGTCCTTGTGCTCTGTTTGGAAAGAGAAAACCTGTTTATGACCATGTGCATAAAATGGATGGTTTACAGACTCCTCTACAACCAAATCCTACTTTTGCTGAAGAAGGCAGGAACATAGGAGGAGTCCTGATTGATTAGACCAGGGGTATGTCTTGGGCACCATTCTGTACACAGAGACCAACTAGGTGGCTATGGAAAACGAACCAGAGAAGTGTGATTTAATGCATGGATATGGTATTTAACTCCAGTAAGACTGAATATAATAAATAAAAATATACCATCTCAGTGCTGGGAAGGCAAAAAGGGACCTATATTATGCATATGTGGTGGACGTGTGAAATAAGCAAGAAAGAATGGGCACTGGTTTGTTAAGATGTTAGAAAAATTATTGGATGTGATATTCAGATATTACCAATCATTGCCCTCCTGAACATAATGACCATTTCAAAAAAAAAAAAATCAGAAAGAGTTAGTTGTTACAATGGTTACAGTAGCAAGATTAATGTTTACAAAGAACTGGAAAAGCAACAAATTAATCTTAAAGTCTGTCATAAAGAAATGTGGAATATAGCAATTAATAACAAGTTAACATGTGAAATGAAAATAAGAAGAGGAATGGTGAAGTCTAAAGATTTCAAAGATGTATGGAATTTATACTTGGAGCATGTCTTTTTGAAGGGGAAAAGCTATATGCCAGCAGAAGAATCAATGTGTTTTTGGAGAGGAATGGGGTGAAAGGGAGTATAAACTGATATTATTGATTACCTAGTCCCAAGGGTGAAGGTGGCACGGGTGGGAAATGTTTATTGTGTATTGTGTGTAGTCACTAATGAGTTTGTGTTTTAGTTTTATTTCTGCTATTTGTAATATTACTTTTATTAACAAAAACACATTTTTAAAAAAGAGGTGTGATTAAACACCAGTCAGATTTCAGAATAAGACCACCATAATCAATGAAGTCTGTGATCAACCCACAAATTGTGGAGAAGAATAGGAAGCATTTATGCGAGCCAGAGGGGAATTAGCCACACATCAAAACAGGATGTGCCAATAATCAGTTATTGTGATTATTGTGCCAATAACCACAGGTGACCGGAACACAGAAGCAGGAAATAAAGCAGAACCAAACATCATTGGAAAATCTGGCCCGCAAGTTAAAAATGAAGTAGGATAGCATGAAAGATTTACTGGAAAAGACAATAACAATAAGGAAAGGCAAAAAGAAAAATCTAACATGAAACAGATTGACTCAGTGAAGGAAGTTTCTGCCAGATCTAAGCAGGGATGTTAATGATAGTACCTGTTGGAAACCATTAATTCCTAGGGTCATGGCAAATTGAAAGTGAATTATACACATAACAAGGAAAACCTGTATGTTACATTGATTCAACAGATCTACTACCGCTGGGACTAACAAAAATAAGCCAGTATTCCAGATATGGTTAAGATCAGCATACAAGCTACATTTTTCACAGCAGCCACAAACCATGGGCTGACCTCTTCATCAAGCTATCATCCCCAACCTCAAGTTGCCACCAGCTTAGATCCCATGAAGAATTTGTTCTTCAATTCAAAGCATATTCATGAAGTTGGAATGATCTTGCCCCAATTATTGGGTGTGTGCTAACAATTCAGCCCACTTGCCACTGCACTGCCTGTTTCCAGACTTTTGCTTTATATTTCCTTCAACGAGAGACGAACCCAACTCTTAGATCCTTTTCACTTTACCTGATGGAAATCATCTTCATCGTCAGAGAGACCTTCAAAGAGGAAGCCACCTGCCAAGAAGACACAATGAAGCACAGGTTAACTTTGACCCAGACTCCATTATGTACGTGCAGCAAAGCAAGGCCAAAGATTTAGAGATGAAAGTATCTCAGCGTATAGCACTTTGTGATGCTTTTCCCTGTCCAGCATCCCTAGGAGCTGAGAAGAGTCTTGTGGACCATCTAGGAGAGAACAACTCTCCTGATGCTTTTGGACTGCAACTCTCAGCGTTCCTCATGACACTTTACACTAGCTAGGGCCGATGGGATCAGCAGAATTCAACGACATCTACAGCAGTGTTTACCAACCTTGGGTCCCCTGACCATTAGCTGTGTTGGCCAGGGTTTCTAGGAGTTACTGTACAGTCCAAGAACGTCTGGGGAACCAAGGTTGGGAAACACTGGTCTAGAGGGACACACGTTGCCAGCCCCAATCTAGTTCAGCCTCTGCTCCAGCCAGGAAGTCCAAAACTAGAATATCTCCAACAGGTAGCTGCCTGCAAATCTCGCCTTCTCTAGATGTGTTGTTCCATGGGCTCTCCACTCCACTTCACTCGCTTGCTGGGCATTTCTCTTTAACACTCTCCTCCTCCTCCTCTGCTCATGTACTGTCTATCCTGGAGCATGTCACTCACCTGGCATGTCCCGATAGGAGCTGGAAGGCATGCTACGCGAGGAGGTCTCTCCAGTGGGCAAGGGGGTGCTTCCAGCCACAGAGTGGAGAACCAAGATGATGGCATTCACCAAAGCAGGATGGGTTGGAATGAGCCTAGACAGGGTTGTGACAAGAGGTTCCATTATACTATTGCCCCCAACCTACGAAGAATATTCTGTACAAAGATGTAACAGTCTTTTGGTGTGAGCTGCCTAATTTGAAATTGCCAAATGGGAGAAAGAGAGCGCTGCTTCTTCCACTTAAAACTGTTGGAGGAAAACAGGGGATATAGCCCTTTTGCAAAATTAACCCACGAAGTGAGAAAGACTAGAGGTCAAACACAAGTGGACCCTTTACAATCGATATGGTATATTTTTATTGTGGAATTTTCTCTCCTGGAAAACCAATGGGTGCCTGTTGCTACTTGACCTGACTAGGTTGTAGAGTTCTGATATGTTAAATTGTGTTGATGCAACATATTTTGATACTTTGAACTGCTCTATTTTGTGCCCTGTGCCCCACGTTTTTGACAGAGGAAGGGATACATATATTTTAGTAAATAAAGTGTCAGGGAGGCCAGAGTCACAGAATTAAGCGCATGATAGAACTGGAAGGAACTCAAAGGTAATCCAGTCTGTAATCCTGCTAATGCAAGAACTTCTCTAATACAGCATGCCTGGCAGGTGGCCGGCAAGGTAGCCAATGCATGAAAACCTCATCTGAAGGAGAATCCAGCACATCCCATGGTTGGCTATTATCCTGCTAAATGTGTCATAATGTTAGAATGTTCTTATGTTTAGCTAAACTGCTACAAATGGGGTTAAGTCCAAAAATTACATTAAACAGAATGAGTAACAGCATTTTCTTGCTAGGGATTTATAGAAAATAAGTGTTGATTGCCACTAAGGTTTGATAATTTGTGTATTATTGCTAGTCTTTCAGGGGTACAGAACTAGAATATCTGTTTTAGTAATACTGTAATTCAAAGCAGTGTTGTTGGGGTGGGGGACAAGGTGGGGAAGCAACACCATCATGATCTAACAGGGTATATAAAAACTGCAATTCTCAGCTGCAACATCTACCAGATACAGGACAAAAGTTTGGAATGCAAGCCAGAAGGGTAACTCTGCATTGGTCAAGGAGAACAAACACAACTCCTTCCCCTTGCTCAGAAATATCTGATTATGGACGATACCAGACCTGGGTCTGTGCTATTTAGCAAACTCACGTGTCCAGCATGGTTGGGTCAGCAAAGACAGAGAAAAGATCCTTATCCTGCAAGACACCTGACACAACGAGAAACAAAACCGTTTTGAGATAACTGTGAGTCTGTTTGAGCCAAAATATAACAAGAATAATAATATTGTGATACTTTTAAGACAAACAAATATATTTCAGTATATGGGTTTGTTGATTACAAAAGTTCAAAATGGCCAAAATCCTGTTGCTTGTAGTAGTAAAGTACACTAGGGCAGGCCCATTGAATCAATGAAGTTTTGCGGAATCAACTGCTCTGTAAGCTCCACTGCTTCAAATGGATCTACTGTAACAGGAACCTGTTGATACGTGCCATCAAGTTGCCTCCAGCTTATGGCAACCCTCTGAACAAGTCATCTCCAAAATGCCCTCTTGCAAACTCAAGCCTGTGCATTCCTTAGGAAGTCAATCAATCTTGTATTTTGTCTTCCTCACTATGCTAAAATAAGCTAATTCACCACATCCTCACTGATTCAATGGACCTATTCTAGTGCAGTTTACTATGGTAAGCAACAGGATTTTGGCCACTATATCATGTGTCTGAAGAAATGGATTGTAATCTATGAAAGTTTACACTGGAATAAATTTCCTTGTTTTAATGGCTCCATTGTACTTTTGTTTTGGCAGACACAATATAGAAACCAGGCAGAAATCTGTGATGTGATATCCACCAATGAAGGAGAAATGCATGAAAACTAAGCAACTCCTCTTAGTCAGAAGGCAATGTGCAACTGGAAGTTTATAATTATATGTCTTCTTTTCCTAGTTTTACTTCTGTCTTTATGACATCCAGCTCTCGTTTTATTTTGCTTTTTTAGAACTTACATTATTATTATTTTATTATTACCGTGCACTGAATGTTTTTGAGTTGTATAGCACCACAAAACTCTCATTATTGTGTGGTCTTAAAATGTAAAAACTTAATATAAGCGTACATTGTTATTAAGTTGCTTTAGGTTGGCAGGATAGCTCAATGGTTCAAATATCTGGCTGCAGAACCAGAGGCTGGGAGTTTGATTCCCCACGGTGCCTCCAACGAGAAGAGCTAACCTGTGTAGCCCAGGGCACGCTACCTGTTCCCTGAATTTTCCTCAGAAGAAGGGAATGGCGAACCTCTTCTGAGTATTCTCTACCTAGAAAACCCTGGGAAGGGGCATCAGAAATCAGAATTGGCTTGACAGCATGCTATAAAACTTGCTTCAAGACCAACTAAACTGTGTGCTCGCTTGCGCGGAGCTCCATTAGGACTGCACACGGGCAGTTGTTTTATTCACTGCGAATAAAGCCCATCGCATCCCTGTGCACACAAAGTGAGGCTCCTGCGCAGCAGGACAAAAAATTAGAGGGAATGTTGTTCCAAGGCCTACATAATTTATCCCACAGATAAACTTCAGACTTCAGTTGAAAAGGCTGCTTTTCCTTGGTGGAGACGTGGGGAAAAATCAGAATGCTAGATCTTATCATCTATTTCTAGCAGCCACGTGCAAGATGTTTTCCAAACTAGAAGAACACAGGTTCCTGCTTGGAACAGCCTGAATCTAAAATTCAACCCAGGGGAAAACAAAGCAGGAAAGATAGGAAATGGAAGCAGAGGCAACCAAGTTAGAATATGCCAAAAAAAAAATTCGATACAGGTCCCTTGGGTTCATTACATCAGAGTAACTTTCCACAGGTTTGAATCCCAGCTGTTGCTGATCTACAGTTCCTATTACCCAAATCAGCATGTCAGTGACAATCAGGAATAACAGGAGATGTAGTCAGTACGAGAACCAGCATCCTGTAGTATTTAAGAGTGCTGGTCTAACACTAGGGCAGTGGCTCCCAACCCTGGCTAACCCAGGTGTTCTTGGCCTGCAACTCCCAGGAGCTCTTGCCAACATGGCTACTGGTGGAGGCTTCTGGGAGTTGCAATCCAAAAATGTCTGGATAACCAAAGTTGGGAGCCTCTTCCCTAATGAGATCTTAGTTACATCACCCCAGATGAATTACTGTAACGTGCTTTATGTGGGGCTGCCTGAATTACTGTAACGTGCTTTAGGTGGGGCTGCCTATGGAAAATGTCACAAAACTTCATTGGGTCCAAAATACAATAGCTAGAGAGCTGACTGGGGCTGGTTATGGGGATCACATAACCCCTCTGTTACAGCAACTCCACTGGCTGCTGATCACTTTGTTGTTGTTGTTTAGTTGTTAAGTCATGTCCGACTCTTTGTGACCCCATGGACCAGAGCACGCCAGGCCCTCCTGTCTTCCACTGCCTCCCGGAGTTTTTAAATGGATTGTTTTGCCTTACTGCTTTCAATATGATGTTGCTGTTGCTTTAGTTTACCATTTCTTAGAGTGGTATTGTTTGATCTTTTTTATTATTTGTATGCTTACTGTTTATAACTTTAAATACTATCTTTTAATGATATAACCCTCCTTGGGGTAAATATTTTAAATAAACATAAATAAACAAGCTCTGAAAAGCTGCAACAGAAAATGAAGGTTCAAGGGGGGGAAATCGGTTTTTAGAAGGGCTTAGTAGCAAATAAACAGGAATGGCATCATCCTGCCAAATCCCTGACTTACGTGTTTCCCCACCAAACTCTCTTTGACTGGACTCACCCAGAGCAATTGGGTCACTGCTCAATCCTGGTGTAGCAACAATGATCTGATCCAGGGACTCCTTGTTTCCCAACATCTTGAAAACCTACAAGGGGAAACACAGAGAGATCAGCCCTGCCCTGCCATGGAGCTGCAAGCCTGGACATCTCCGAAACCTTTCCAGATGTTGGCTTCACTGGCCAATATCCTATTGCTGAAGGAACTGAAATGCCATGATATTTCATGGAGAACAGCTGCAAGTTACCAACTCAGCAGATATTACTTGTACACTAAGTTGCACAACTCAATAAGCAAAAGACAATGACTGACATCCAGTCACAAGAGTAGGCCCACTGAATCAATGAAACTTACAGTAGACTCGTGAGTCCCTTCCCCCTCCGAATTCAATGGGTTTAACTCTAGCTGCAACTTATTTGTGGATATTGTGCTGCCACAAAATCTGCCATTTACTCTACCACAGTAACACGGCGTTGCCCGATTCTTCCCACATTGCCAGGAGTGAGACAGAGGAGAAGTGTTACTAGTCACACTTACCGAATCTCGGAAGACGGGACTGCTCTGCAAGGCAGTATGTAGGACACGGAATTCTCGTACTGCAGCCACTTTATCTACTGGTTCTGGAGACAGGAAAGATAAGCCATCAGAGGACAGCTCAGCAAAAAGCAGCACGCAGGTGATCTGCTTAGCACTGGCTAGAGGTAACTATTAATTCCAATCCAGAGGCACTTCTGTCATGGAAGGTACACAGAATAGAAATCTGACAGTACAATGGCAACTTTAAACTGGAATGTGTCAGATGTTAGATCACAGTTTTGGAGAACCACCTATAAACCACTGTGGTATAGAACTGAGAGTGCTGGACTGGAATTCAGGAAATCCAAGATCTACTCCCCATTGAGTCATGAAAATTCACTGGAAGACCTTGGGCCAGTCAAACACTCCCTAACACTAATTGTTCAGGAGAAAGAAACATGCAGAGGTCGTGGATGTTTGTATTCTATGCTCTTTTCCTCTCCTTTCCCAGCCAGAGGAATGGCAAAGTACCAATTCTGCCCAGAGTAACCACCTTACCCGGTTTCTGTTCTGGCTCAGGCCACGATTTCCGGAGGACGTGTACTGTGGAACCAGACTGGATACCATAGAATTCCAGGGTCTGGTCATCCCGCAGCTTGCGGCCACAGTAAATCAAATCTGTAAAACAATTCAGAATTGTAAGGGTGGATCACACACAAGTGAATACCTGTTTTACAGGCTGGGGAGACACCAGAGATAGTCTCCCTTTCTTCAGCAACACAGCCATCAAGGACATGCTCTGGAGTTCGTTTAATCCTCCACGATGATGATTTCTTGAAAATTCCCAAACTAAGTGAAGGGATCATAGGTTAGTGGTAGGGTATGACTTTTGCAAGTGGAATGTCCCAACTTTAAACCTGGCCATCTCCAGCTGAGTGCGAAGTGAGCACTTAGATCTACCCGTATCACTCGTTCTAGCCAGGAGGGGTGACTGAGGAGCCTAAAGCAGGGGGAGGTCCAGAAAGAAAAAACAAGTAACTGGGCCTTCTCGGCGGTGACTCCCTGTCTGTGGAACAACCTCCCCTTCGAGATCCATTTGGCCCCTTCGCTGGGCAGTTTCAAAAGCCAACTGAAGACCTGGCTATTCAGACAAGCCTTCCCTCTGGGCACCACATATCTTTTGATTTCCATCTCGAATTGTTAATTCTCTGTAAATGGTGGTATAACTGTTTTATATGTTAATCATTTTATATTCTCTGTTGTGAGCCACCCAGAATAGACTGTGTCTAGATGGGTGGCATATAAGTCCAATAAATAAATAAACTTCAGCAGTTCACTTATTTGGACCAAAACTGGGGAGGGGTTTTGGGGGATCTATAAAAAGGGGGCATCGGGGCATCTTGGAATTAAAAAAGATCGGGTAGCACATGATCAGAACCCTGGTTTAGCATTAATACAATCATGAGTGACTGCACTAACCATGGATCTTCCATCCACAGTGCTGTTATCATCATACCTGAACCCAGGTGTCTGGTTTGTCTCTCCTTGCCCAAGGGAGAAAGAGAACACAGTTGAGTGTTTCCAAGAAAAACATTTAAGATACTGACAATACCTGTCAACAAATTTCAGCATCATTACAACTATTTGTGGCACCACCAGGTCATGGTGGACCAACAGCTTACCAATGAGTTCTGGGTCGGGGACAGATTCCTGAAGCTTTCCCGTGATGAGCTGTTTCAGGTACGAGATGCTACAGCTCCCCAAGGGGCATTCTCCCAGTTCTGTTTCTGGCAGCCTCAGAATGGATTTGGGAGCCAGGGGCTGATCAGCCAGCTTCACAGCAATGTAACACTCGGAGAGGGACATGGTGTTCATTTCCTGGGGAGAGCGTGACGTTGTGAGGTCCCAGTCTGTACTCCAAGTGGAATCTAGAAAACACCCAATGGGAATTTTAAAGAGATGGGATCTTTTTCCAGACCCATTTTCTCCAGGGGCCAATCGCACAAACAGGACATGAAGGTTTACAGTTCTCCCTTTACAATTCCTCCAAAACTGATGTTCAGCAAACACCGCCTCTGAACCTGGATTGAATTGAGTTGGCATCCTTCAGATGTTTTAGACTATTACTTCCATAAGGCCCAATCAAAAACATTGGTGGTTAGAGACAGTGGAAGCTGGAGCACAGATATAGCTGGAGAATGCTGGATTTGCTATCTCTGACATAGAGGGAAACTGGGAAGCGGGCAGGCGCTATTTCAGTGCCTCCTCCAGGAGGAGGGCCCTCCACTTCATAAATAACCTTATCTACCACCATCTGCACTGTGGAAAAGATCCCAAAAGAGAGAAGCAAGTAAAATGCCTAGAGAATTACTCCCAGTCAGGCTGATGGCCTCCTAATGGGTCATCTGTCACCATCTAGGCTGTGCAAAGAACTCCATATGCTTAACGTGTGTTTACATGCACATAGGCTACTAATAATGTAGCCAAGACTCAATGGACTCAATATTCTTATAACATTATCAGGATTCTTATAACCCTAGTATGGTTTTTCAGCATTACCATGTTGTCCCCCTTTGTAATCTATAGCCTGGGATTAATTAAGGCACCCATCACTGCCATTGTTTACTGAACAAAGCTTCCCCGGAAGGGAAGGGCGTGGTAATAGTCATTCCTAGGTGTAAAAAGCCACACCATCAACTCTTTTGTGCCCAGGAAACAGTAAGTCTCCCAGAATCCTTCACCCTTTAAGGCAATTAACTGTGGCTCCAGCCTTAAGACTGAAAACGCAGCCCTCCTAGTCAGAACTTGGAAACGTGACTTTCTGGGACTCACAACTCCCGGGATCTGCTCTGGACGTCGAAGAGCCGCAACTCCCCCATCCTCCATCGTTGGCGATGGTGTCTGGGGCTCATGGGAGTTGTAGTGCAAGGACACCCTGAAGGGCCGTGTGTGCCCCCGCCCCCAAAACCCCTCATCTCGGCCGAAAACTTTGGAGAAAAAGAGGAAGAATAAAACGTGATAAATGGAAGGGATCTAGTGCCACAGTGAGTCCCCCTCACACACAAAGGCACAGAATCCATTACTGCAACCACTATACCACACTGCCCCCTCAACCGGTCCTCCTCAGTCACGGAGCGGGGAAAATATAAGAATAATAAAAGGGGGGACAAAAGAATGCACCCAATAAGCCTCCACTCCCCCATAAAACAAAAACAAAACCCCTTTATTTTTTTCATTCCCACGTACCTGGATGTTTACGACCAACGGCCTCGTCTATCCGGAAACGCTTCCCCGAACCCGCGCGAGACATGCCGGGAGTTGTAGTGAGCAGGAAAGAACGTTCACTTGCCTTTCTCCACGGAGCAAAAAAAAAAAACCCACGCGGAGGAGAAGAGCGCGAACCTACCAGCGGCCAACGGAAGCCACCGCTCTGCCGCAAAGGACTCTGGGAACTGAGGTTCCACCTCAACCCCAGTGAAAAAAAAAATTGAGGGCGGGCGAAAACAGAAAAGGGTGGTGCGTTGTGACGTCACAGAGCTGGTGTATCTTCGCCAATCAGGAAGGAGGCGTGAATGGGATACAACCAATCAGTGCGCGGGATGCCGGGGTGCGGCTTATTTAAAACAGATCAGGCGCGTAAGTGTGGGTTTTTCCTTCTTCCATTGCAGTGCAGGGTTTGTTTTTTTTTAGGTACGGTTGCGTTGTTTTCTGGTAAGTTGCTTCACTCCCCTTCTGAAAGTCTAGACTCCCTAATGTCTGTTTTTCACTGATTTTAGATCGTCCATTTCCAAAACGGTGCTAAAATAGCATTTTAGGCGCAAAACCTGCGCTAACATTGGGTTAGTCGTGTTTGCTTTATCGCCGAATTTAGCCAGAGGGGTTTCAAAAGAGATTGAGGAATATTATTATTTGTCGAATCCGGGTGGCTTAATGCCTCGAGTCCTGGTTCTGAGCCCATGGGGTGTAACTTTTAGGTGATTATCTCAAGATTTCAAGGAAGCAGCGTTTACTTTAGCTGGCTGGCGGGGAAGGAACTTAGTGAATATTATAATATTCTAATTTTAAAGGCACGGAGAGTATGCTTGCGGCTTTTCCGGCTTTTCTAGGAATTGGAAACTGGATTGAAATTTTTTTTTTCCAGATTTGCTCTCTATGCACCCGTTGCATCCTTAAGACAGGGTTGGGGGAAAGTTTGGTCTTCGACGTTGTGTCCTGCAAGTCATTGGCAACATGGCCAGGCGTTTTCTTAGTGACTGGCTACTAAGAAATGGACTGTGAGATTTTGTTTTCCACCCCTCTCCCTTTCCAGTCTTTATTTTCTTTGCTTTTAATACTGGAAGCTACGGGGGGGGGGGGG